CTGGCTCATCAATGACAGGTAAACCACTTAATGTATGAACAGTATTCACTTACAGAATCATAATCAGGAGCAAAGTAGGTACCTGAAGTCAAAAGAAAAGCTTAAACATCACATATTACACTCAAAATAGTCACAAATTTCAGTTATTTATCACTATAGTTCAGTGTTTCAAATATTCAAACTGATAAATATTTATGAGTACATGATTATATATATATATATATATATGTGTATGTGTTAAAAATTTCTTTTCTTTTTCACCAACCCAGTGGCAGGAAGCTCAAATTTAGACCCTGTCAGATTTCAGAAACCTTAACTAATTTATCACCAACCCAGTGGCAGGAAGCTCAAATTTAGACCCTGTCAGATTTCAAAAACCTTAACTAATTTATGTGCAATATATCAAGAACAAAATTAGGCTCTAATGATTTGTGATAATAATAATACAGCATGAAGTTTACAAAGGAATTACCTGAGATGAACCCCATATTGCTTTAAACAAGAGGGAATTCTCAATAGCCGTGGCACTTGAAGATCTTTTAGGCAGGATAAGAGTAAATTAATTTATCAGACCTTTTTTATCAGCTATATTTTTGTGTGCCAGCAATACCAAATGTGGAGCATGCTTATACCTGGGTTCAATTTTAATATTCATCATGATCTCTACCAGCCTACCTTCACATTGAAATTCTTTTAGGCAAGATTAGAATAAATTAATCTATGAGACCTTGGGCATGGTCAAATACATCAATCAAACGGGTTTGACCTCCTGTGTCCAAAACTGCAATTATATCTCAAATTGGTCAAGAGATAATGGAGCTATGAGCTAAAAGTTTGTACTTGAAAAAACTCGGAGCCATTACGCCATGGCTAAAAATTGTAAAAAATTCTCACTTTATACATATGATATATATATCAAAATTTAATCAAACAGTATTCAATCCAAGCATGGATAAATGATAAATAATAAAGAAACTGTATTTGATACTTAACATGAGCAACTTATTCAACATGAAATAAATATTATTTGGATAACATAAAAATTAAGCTTTAAGTCAAAGATTTAGGCAATCAGTTTTATTCATGCTTAAGGTTATCAATTAATGATTTTCTCACTCAACTGAATCATCTAAACACTATGAAAACACTAAACTACTACTATGGTAGTTTGAGTTATCTAATCTATATGGAAAATATTAATACATTTTTGAGGTAGTTTAAGTTGTTAAGCAGAACTTAATTAACAATATTGTAGATAAACCCTTTAGCTCATTGATAGAAGATTAACTTTGCATGTAAGAATTTCCAAGTTCAATTCTGAGCCCAGAAGATGCAAAAAATTTTACTTCTGCTTACTTAATTATGTCTATCAACATTTAAAATAGAATAGTTACCAGTAGGAGAGAAAGTATATCCTGGTGTTATAGTCTGAGGTGAAAAAAAAGATTTAAGAATTGTTCTCAAACACCGTCGATCCCAGGTGTCAGTTACCTGCCCACCATACGTAATCTGAAAAAATATAAGAATTGTTTTCAAACACCGTCGATCCCAGGCATCAGTTACCTGCCCACCATATGTAATCTTAAAAAATATAAGAATTGTTCTCAAACACCGTCGATCCCAGGTGTCAGTTACCTGCCCACCATACGTAATCTGAAAAAATATAAGAATTGTTCTCAAACACCGTCGATCCCAGGTGTCAGTTACCTGCCCACCATACGTAATCTGAAAAAATATAATAAAAGAAGAATACAAGCCTTTTTTTCACATTATTCATGATATCTGTAAAACACTCATGATCAAAGGTGGATAAATGATAAGTAGGAAAATCCAATAAACAAAACACTTGAGGAGTATACATCAATAACCATAAGGTTGATAAACCATTCAAAGCAGAATTGTGCTTTAATAATTAAAAAAGGAAAACAATTTTAATGAACAAAATGGTATAACTGATCAAAAGTGAAGACATATGGTAGCTGAAGCACTTCAGGAAAGTAATGTTAATCACAAAAAACAGTTGAATCATGTTACATATGGAGTGAGCTTATATAGTGCTATAGAACTTGCAGGGGAGCAGGACTTGACAGGTAGGGTTGTGGTTTCTTGAGGCTTTTTGTAATGCCAGTGAAAACAACTTCAACCCCCAAGAACACATGTGAGCCTAACCGACTTCATTTGATAAAAGCTAATGCTTGTCCCAATAGTTTGTGTATACTGTCACTGCTTACCTTAAAATGGTTACATTTTCTCCACACTTCAATCCTCAAGAACACATACAGGCCTAACTTCAGAGACAACATTCACATGTATCTAAGGACACACATATATAAATAACTGAGCTACAGACTAAAGCTACTCTACAAAGAGATGCATTGATATCATGCAAAGAATATCTGAAATCATATCTCTCACCTCTCCTATGGTGTACTCCAAGGCATCCCATGGTATATGTCCATCCTGGCAGAATATCCTCAGATTATCTAGAGCACATTCCCTGTCACTGTCACTGAACTCATACTAGAAACCAATAAAAATATCCCAATCAATTCTTCTTCAGTTTAAATACACCACATTTTTTTTTTAAACATCAAATTAATTGGAAACTCTCAGATTGAATTTTTTTTTCAAGAGTTCAAGTAAGTTCAATAAATTTTATACCATTATAGATAAATAGTATTCACTGGAAGAATTGTAGAGCTTAGAGGCCTATAATTTTAAGCTTATAAAAAGCACACCATTAAGAAAGAAAACTCTACCTTGATTTACTTATACATCTTCATCACCTGTGTTATATGTTAAATTATCTATTTAAATAAACATTAATATAATAAAAAGTGATGATAAATTGGAAACTCATATTCAGTTTAGATTTGCAGCTTTTCTTTGCATTGTACAACAAAATCACTACTTACAGTATCACAAATAGCAACACTATGTACTACAATTCCATTTTACAAGCATGAGGCCCATGCAAGCCATAGAGTAATAAAATAAGGCAATCAATCCACAAGTAGGTTGTTTGATAGCAACAGCTTTAAGGGGACTAGTTCCTAAGGACATGACATTGTTTACATTTAATGCTTATACTAGGTGCCTATCATTTTAAAGAATTAAAAATCAGATATGTTGCTGAAATGTTCAAGAGATAAAATTAATGAGTATATTTTAATTGTAAATTATTTTTTTAGTTCACCAATGCAGTTATAAGTGTGCAGTCACACAGCCTGTGAGCCTTTGTTACTTGAACTATTATGATAGCAAACTATTGAAAGACGTTTCTTTAGTTGCTTAGATTAGCATGAGACTCCAAAAAGTCAATGGGAGTCAAGCTTAAGGTCAAAACTGATTGTTAAAGTTAAGTACAGAAAAATGTCTTCAAAGTTAGATACCTTCCTTTTTGAATGTCTGTGAAATAAACTATATCCAGTTGTATATAACAAAATGTCCCCTGGTGGGGCAGCATTAAGTTTACAGACATACAACACTAGAATCTAGGGTTCAATTCCCTGTGGTGAACACAGCAGATGGCCCAATGTGGCCATCAAACAAATTTAATATAATTACCCCCCAGTGTCTCAGTGGTATGTCTGCAGACTTAGGACACTAAACATTGGGTTTTGATGCTCGTGGTGGGCACAGCACAGATGTCCCATTGTGTAGCTTTGTGCTAAATTACAAACAATTTAACATAATTACCCCCCAGTGTCTCAGTGGTATGTCTGCAGACTTAGGACACTAAACATTGGGTTTTGATGCTCGTGGTGGGCACAGCACAGATGTCCCATTGTGTAGCTTTGTGCTAAATTACAAACAATTTAACATAATTAAATACTTAAAATGAAGTTCCAAGATGCATCTATATACCAGATAATTAAAATTTTCATTTGAATCTTCCTAGCTTATTCAGAAGTTAGAAGGTTTAGTTTAACTAGTAGTCTTAACTTCTTCTTCTTTATGAACAAGTAGCAAAAAATTCAATGGATTAATAAGTGGTTGTCTTTAATTTTAGTTTGACATCCCATTTCTTGCTACCTTTTACCAAACTCAAGCACAATACCATATTATGTCTAAATACTATAATAAGTATCTCTAAATATAAATGTGTTCAGAAAATGTGATAACTTATGATATTACACAGTGTTGAGTACATTATATTAAAAAGATTTTGAATATGTGAAATGACATCCATCAGAACTACATTTTAACATTGTTTTGCATTTTGTAGGTACTGTGGCAACACTGAAAACTAATCACCCTTTGGGTAAGGTATGTACAACCCTTCCTAGTGCCAAATATTCATCCACTCAGATTATAAAGATGTTTTCAGATTTGGGATTTAGAATTTCTAAGATGGAGACATCCCCTGTATTTATTGGGACTGGAAAACAAAGGAACATGAATTAACTTATGGTGCCAGTACAACTCAGACAGTCCTACTTTAGCTGTTGTAAGCAATGTATAGTATCTTGTAACAAGTTAGAATCATGGGTGAATTGGGACACCAGGCAAAAATCCCGGTGGACCGGAGACACCTGGGCCAGTGGGGTGATAACCTGGTTATACTATCCCAGTGCTACTGACTAACCTTTATCTCTCTTTTTATATATATATATATATATATACACCATCCTGATTTTTGAGTATTTCCCAATCTGCCCATGATTAGAATCCATAAACACAAAGTTCTGTGGAAAAAGCTGTCCATATGCACCAGGCAACAGTGCAAGAAGAATACCTACCTGGAAAGGCAACAAAAGTTGCTTATAAGACTTATTTGGTCAATCAGCACATACCTTTAGCAGAATGAAATGACTATTCATGTTATTCCATATGAAAACATATTGGTTAAGTCACTGGAAACAGTGCCTATGGTTAGGTTCCAAAATCATTTTAATATAACATACTCAACTTACATAGCCATATTGTTATTCAAGTTATAAGTAAAATCACATGTTGCCATTACTATCTTAAAGATATACCTTGACATTCCAACCCAATGAGCCAAAATTCTTTCTTTCTTGAATGATAGCATGAAAAAAACAAATGCCAAACACCATCTTCCTCCAGTTCTTTCTTAATACTGTGGATATTAGTGAATGAAGTGTTAAAAAGTTTAAATGTAAAACCTACTATCTAATAACACCATGAAATGAAAGTTATACATAAAGTTTGATGTGAACATAGTTTTTAATAGACAACAAATATTTGACTTGTAATGCCATACTTTTAATTTAAAGACATGTTAATATGGTTATTTGAAATAGTATAATCAAACAGAAAACCTTTACAGCTCAGAGTTGATAAACACACTATGATCTCTACAGCTATGGTAAATATTCTTCACATAATAATAAGCACAGAAGGAATTTACTTCTACGAGGTTCTAACAATAATACCTAATCAATCTAAAAGGTTGCCCTTTCAATATAAACAATGATGCTCTCATACACAAACATATACATTATGACATTATCTACTTCACAAGAGTAAATCTGGACTGTCAGTTTTTTTTCAACATTTTCAGGCTACTTTCATAATTACATATCATAATGTACTATCTTACAAATACTGTCAATCATGTCACATGCATTTATTGCGCATGGTTTAAGTTTAAACTATGGCGTATGATTCAGTGATACATTATTATCTCTTGGAGTATTGTTATTCTTGGTGTAACTTTCAGAGAAGTAATGAAATGTGTTCATCCAATTCTCATAGACAAAAAATAAAACATTACAAGTTTTTATCTGAAATAAAATATTATATAAAGAAAATTAAACATTAAATAATTTAAAAATAGAAGATCTATGTAAGACAGAAAACATGAGTTATGAAAGCAGATAAAGAGCTTGATGCTTATAAAAAAAAATAAGCAAAATGTTGAGGGAGTTAAAAAATACTTGTAAAATAATATATTAATACTACACAAAGGTAAAGCACAAAAAATAAAAGGATGTTGAAATGCTATCTAATGTTGACTGGTATATGATTAAAAAATAAAACAGAGTAAGAGGCTAATTCATGAAGCCTATTATAAAAAACTTTTGTCAAAGTAAGATACATTTCTAGCAATCATATTTATGCAAGTTAACTATCTTGCATAATCTATCAGGTGTTCTTAAATTCAAAAATGGAAAAAAATGTGATAAAGGTTGAAATAAATTAATTACAGTGCCATGTGTGGAGGGATGGTACAAAAATTTCTTAAAAGCTAGATTTGTCAATAAAATATACAATTAAACAGATACAAAAATAATAGATATAAGATAGGCCAAGTAAGTACTATAATACAAAAGGAAATACAGGTACAACAAAATAAAACGTATGATGAAAATGGACTATCAACTTCTAACATTCTTCAGAGCAGTTGATCTGAGGATGTTCATTAAATACCTCTATAAAGGGTACATTGCCAAAACATGTTAAGAGTTGTGAAAGTGCAAATTAAAATAGCATGTTAAATTAATTACTTTCATAAAAAATTAAAAATTAATATAAAAAAGAAACATACACTAAATTATGTATCTCTTTTTAACCTGTTAAAATAGTTTCTCATATTTTTTCCAAGTAAGCCTATTATTCATTTTTCTCAAGATATTTTAACCCTCAAACTTACAGAAATTTTGCTTCAATGAAAAAAATCCCAACTCTTAGAAAAAAAATATGTTGATATTTCAGCACATCTTATCAAAAAAATTTCAACCTTTTAAATATATGTTATTAAAATGTAGATATGATAATCTTGTATCTAAATATAATACTCAGTGTTAAATCATAATCAGATCATATTGTAGAAAAAATTTGCTACTTCAGGGTAAATTTTTTAAGCTTGTATTTTTGTTATTTCTTCAAAGAAACATTAAGGAGAGCCTGGTGGTTAGGGTTCTCTTCTCATAATCTGCAGGTTGTGGGTTCAAATTCCTGTCATCAAACATGCTCACCCTTTCAGCAGTGGGGGCATTTTAATGTTACAGTGAATCCCACTATTTGTTGATATAGAACAGTTGGTAGTGAGTGGTGTTTACTAACTGTTTTCCCTCTACTCTATCATTATTCTATTAGGGATGTTTAGTGCAGATAACCCTCGAGTAGCTTTGCATAAAATTCAAACAAACAAACATTACAAAGAAAGGTTCAGTCCCATAAAAAGAGTGTGAATTCATACTATTGCATATAAATGTATGAAAAAACTACAGTTAGCAAAAGATAACTGCGAATACAAATTACATATTTTTCTGTTACTTAATATTTTTATAAAAATATACAAAGTCACCTAGAAACAACTCATCTGATATCAACTCACCAACAAGTAGGTGTACACTGCTAAGTACAGGGTGAGTTTTTATACATTTTAACTTTGTATTAGGAAGATTTAATGAACTGCAAATGAGAATGACATGTTCAGTGTTGTCTTTGTTCTTGTGATATCCTTAAGCTCAAATAATCCCCAAAGAAAAAGTCACAAGAGTTCAAATTAGGTGAAAATGGATAACTCATATCCATAGTTACTCTTACAGGGGCAAATCTGGCTTTAAATACAAAACAAATAACATCAACACAACTAAGTTTACACATAACTCCACCTTCCACATATGTCTTTCATCCCCAACAATCCAAATGCAAGGGTGTGGCAGCCTATGGCCATTTTCTGTCACCGACAGAAAAGACAACCATCTATCTCAAAACTTCATGATCTATCTATTCTATAAGAAAATACAACTAATTTCCAATTAGTAAATTCATATGTTATTTACATCAGAGAAAGGAAAGTTAAGCTGCTTATTGAGCGATTTTCTGCATCCAAACTGAAGTGAAAAATAATACAGAAATTTCAAAAACTTTACATATTAACTGAGGGGAATAGCTAACACATGATACAACCGTGTTCCATACATTTGCATTTATGTCATCACATTAAGTATGTCTAGCCAGTTTACCAAACATATTTGGCTTCATTCACTTACAAGTTACCTTTAATTCATATTTATATAGTTTACTAACTTTTTTATCAGAAATTCTAATTAATAATGTTAATATAAATTGTAACTGATTCTCTGTGGATGAGATTATTCTAGCACTTAGCTAAAATTTAGCCATACATTTAACTGGTCCAATTTTGTTTTTTTATTAATATGATTGATAAGCACCTATAGGTGTTGGTCCTATAAACTGTAGTTTATAAACATTAGTTTCCTAGTCAGTCAACGACATTCTTCAAACAGATTTGATTTAAATTTCTTGCCCTTAGTTTGGGTAAATTTCATACTTTGAAAATTCAAGTAGCATCTTTTTATGCTCTATTGGGTTAAAACGTATGTCTAAAACATCCCACTTTAAAACATATACCTTATTTATATGGATGCTAAACTAGAAAGAAATGGGTTAAAATTTCAGTCTTGTAGCTTTATGTAATATTAATTGACATACCTGTTCAATGCATGGGTGGCTTAAGGGAGGTGACATGGGGGGTAAAACCAAATGCTGACCCCCTTAGGACCTAGTGGGCCTTAGGAATACATATCAAGCTTGATTCAGGTCAGTCAAAAACAGTAGGTTTAAAAGTAGACACACAGACAACACTTCTGCTTTATATATACAAACTACATATATAAATATATATATGTATGTGTGTGTGTGTGTGTAATTTTTCTATTTGATTTAATTCAAGTACCAATTCTTAACCTCCACCAAACATACCAAAATAATGTTCCTGGCCCTTCAACTGGGTGTAAATGTCAGATTAATTAGTAGAAACAAAATATTTTTACTGATTAAATTCTTGTTTCAAGTTAATATCATCTCCTAGCAGCATGGCAAATCTGACAATAATTACCACCTGATGAAGCCACGTATACTTTTATGGAGAGTAACTGAATTTGTGTTCTTTATACCAAGCAATGCAAACACACTTACTCAGTCTAGCCTACAAGCTAGAAATAACCTCCTAAACACTGATTTTGACGAAAGAGTATACAGACAGGTACATGAAGTGCAAAGCTATACACCAACTACAGACAAAAATAAATTGGTATATTAGATGATTCTTTCTCTCTTTGATCTATAGAATTATTATTTGATATCATAATGATCAGCTAAGCACAGTATGAAATTAATTTATAGTTATCTAAAACTTCAATAAATAAAAAAATTAAGAAAAAAACATAAACTGAAAATACGACAGTGAAATTATGCTACATTAACAATTATGATAATATTCCTTACTGTGATCTTCAAAGAATTCTTGAGATAGCCCACTAAAAGCTCTGCGAGTATTTGCCTTTAATCCCTTTGGAGGTTCATTGGTTACTTTGACACTATTCTGCAGGACAGAGACAGGGAAAGTTTTTGTAGGCATGGAACTCAGGAAGAGTCGGAAATTTCTGTGAACCTTCTGTGAGCCTTCTGCCAGTTGTTTGATAATTACTTCCATGTAAAACATCCAAGATGCAGCCAGGTGACAGTTCTACATAACATAAAAAATAGTTATTATAAATATTATTATGACACTTCTATATATTAAAAGACATATATATAAACAGTACGGTTTAGATGTAATGAGAAACTAAACACAGGTTTATGTAGCATAAGTATGATTGATATAGATATTGTCTCTTCAGATATTCAAAAGTAAGACTGTTTTGCACCCACTAAAACAAACGGATAACAGTTTATTTTTTTACTAGTTTAACACCAAAACACCTTAGTATACAGATAATTAAGCAGAAGTTAGTCCCACATCTCAAATGATATACAGAAATCTACAAATATGAAAGTTTCATGTACAAGATAAGATATATAAGTGACAGCTTTATACACCAAGAAAAGCATACAAAAATGTATAATCTACATATTCAGTATGAAGAGGACACTGTGGCAATTTGAAACCGAAACTAAATTAAACATGAGAAAAATGAAGAAAGTTGACATTTTTTATCTATTCCCACAAGGAATCAGTTTATATATATATATAATATACATAACATCTAATATACCACAGCTTTTTCATCAAGGAAAAACAAAGAATTTTTCAACATCTTATCCACAAAAAGTAAATAAAGAACAATATAGTTCCTCCCAGTGCTTTACTTCAAAACAAAAAAAAATGGAGTAAACTATAAAAAAAGGAGGAGTGCATGAGTAGTTCTTGTACAAGACTAAACACCAGGGCAGGAAAAAAGAAATGATAACACACAAGAACATTGAATTATTTTTAAGAAATGCTACAGATTTATCAGTTTCTTCAAATCCTTTGTTTGTGCTCAGCCATTTCTTACAATGAAATAATAATAATAACAAATAACCTTTGTGATATGAAATAGTTGAAGATTTTAGCAGCATTATACTTCTTTTGCTCAGTTACTTGTCGATATAAAAGTTACATGTAACTTTAGTTTAAAGATGTTGAGAAAAAATGTTTTTAATGAAGTATACATAATCATTCTCTCCAATTCATAAACGTAATACTTTACAAGAACTGAAGAGACATGATATTAACCAAACCATTGCTACATTTTTGACATGTTGTTATATTTCTTATTACAATATCAAAGCTCTTTATAGGCCTTGTTATTGGAAGATTTTAATAAAAACTGTAACTCTTCCTCAAATACAAGACTTAAGTAACATTACACAATTATTTCAAGAATGAAATTGTTTTGTTTTTTCTAGAATTTCATGAAATGGCTATATAGTGACTGTTCATAGCCATCATTACTTTTGCATTGGTAGTGAAGATAGCTAGTCAACAGCACCCACTGCCAACTCCTGGGTTACTTTAATTGAATAGTGGGATTTGACAGTCACTCTTATAATGTACCCATAGCTCTAAAGTATAGACAGTGTTTTTGTGGCACTGGGTTGCAAACCATGAATTCTCAAATTCACAGTCCAGGCATGCTAACCACTATGCCACTTCCAGCATTTGAATTTTTCCATAATCATCTGATTACATGATATGTAATATCTTCAAAGAAATAACACAAACAAAATATCGTTTTTTTCCCTGAGACAGAATAACAGTTGTTTGAATCTTAAGGTGTTAATCTTTACTAAATATTTCCTCTAGCAATTTCTAGCTTTGCATAGTTAGTAAATTAGGTTTAAAGCTCATTTTTACTATTATAAAAATTGTTCCAAATTGATTTCTTATTAGACAAAAGTTGTACAAATCATTACAAGTCATCATGCACCGAATATAGGATACAAATAGTATACTTGCCGTTTACTTTTTTGATGAAACTTTAGATAAAAATTATGACAATCTTGAAAACAGCTCATTTTGAAGCTCACTTTTTTTGTCAATTTTAATTTTTAAAATGTTGATTAAGAGTTGTTAACTTGAGCAAACAACTTAGAGATGTACATCCAAAAATACCCATAGACAGGCCTGATTATAAATAGTTTATGTTAATTTATATTTCTTTTGGATCGAAATCTATAAAAATTATTAAATATCAGACCCAACAAATATAGCAATTTATATATATATATATATATTTACACCTGTTCTTTGCTTTATTTGCAATAAAACTGTGCAGTGGGAGAGATATAGGGGATGTTCTTCCTATGATCGAGTGTGAATGAATGTATTTTGTAAACTATAATTGGTATATGATTAGCTTAAGGAGTTCTTATTTTTGAATACTCTCCTATTCAGCTACTGTGAGGCAATACTAGAAAATACAAAAAATGGTTAAAACAGCTTTTGGAAAGATCCTGGGAGGCATCAACTTGCAGAATGTTTTTTCACATTAGGTCTCTAGACTTCCTGGGCAACTCTGTGTGACCAAGGAGCAAGATTTATAAATGTGCTTAACATTTTACTCTTTTACACTGAGGATATTTACTATTTTATAGCTATTAATTAAAGTACATTTATTGAACAGCATATAAATATTTATATATGACTTTGAAATACAATTGTTAGTAAATTTCAAAAAGTCATTTTAGTTACCAGGGCAATTTTATTTATCTGTTATTGATAATGTTAAATAAAAAGTTTTGATTATACTTGGATTATCTTCTGAATAATTATGTACAGTGTGTGTTACTTTTTATATTGTTGTAATGTTTTCTATCACTTGGTAGTTTATTTTTTCTATAATGCTTGCTACAGGCTACATTCACTGTAAACCTCAGTTCACAAAGAGTATTGCAACAAACCTTATGAGACTAATGGTAATTAAAATAAAAAAAATGTGATGATTTATTTTGATTTGGAGTTTAAAAAATCAATCAATAGTTAGGTATTTTCTGGCATGCTAGCTTTTAATGGATACCAACAATTTTATGGCTATGAAAGACTGATGACTCTAACTTGCATATAGATATACCAAGATGCATGAAGTAAGTATCTCTTTTATTGTTCTATATTTTTGGGGTTTAGGTCAAATATCACTGGATTCCTAAATAGCAATTACAAGTCACCATTACTATTTTCATATATTATTAATAAGGCAATTAATTAAGAGTTAAGCATCAAGGTGCTAACATGTGTATGAGGGGTCACAACTACATAACACAACAACAAAAAAAACACCAGCAATCCAAACACTTGCTGAATTTCATGCATTAGATCCCAAGGAATAGTTTTCCCAGAAATTACTCATTCACTCTCACCGTATTGACACATTTCTCAAATAAACACAAGAAAAGTTCAAAATGGTGTTTTACTAGTTTAGATTTCAATGGTGAACTGCTAAAGTCTCACACAAATTTGATGGCCAGTCCATAAGTTAACCTCTTTGAATTACAATGTGAACTCTTCTGGTTCACTAAGAGGTTTCTTGACCTAACTTTAGAGATAGATTAGACTCTTATCAGTTTACTTTCTCACTCTAAAAACATCCTAAACACTTTCCATTTGTTACTGTGCAATAAAAAATTAAACGTTGGTTGACTTTAAATGAACAGATTTATGTTAGCTAACAGTAAAAGAAAATATAAGCAGGCAGTTGATACTTTATGCCAGTGTTTCCCAAAGTGGGAGCCACAGACCCCTATGGACCATTTAGCTTTTTTATGGGAGACCGGCAAAAAATGGAAAGAAAACAAAGATGTTGAATTAATTTTAATACTAAATAAACAATAAGCCGATAAAAATTATGTTGAATTAATTAAATGATACAGTATGTTGTAAGGAGATGTTACTGTTTTTACTATTTCACCATTTTTCAATTAACATGCTAAAATTATATGTTGGGGGACCTCAAACTTTTTTATTTACATCAAGGGAGCCTCTGACTAAAAGATTTTGGGAACCACTGCTTTATGCTATCACCTACCTGCAAGAAAACCCAATCTCCAGTTTTCCTAGCCATATTTATCACCTTTTCTGCCACTGGTCCTTGTCCTTGCCCTAGTGAAATGGCTTGCACCCTGGTTAATACCAAAACAGGTAAAAATTTAAGAAATCACTCTATTAAACAAAAACAATTATCATTAACCATTTCTTATTTTATTTTACAATATTTGACAATGTCTTAACCCTTTCTGGACTGGAAGAGTTTCTGATATCTTTGATTTTTTTCTTTCTTAGAATGAAAATACTTAACAATATTACATTAAACTTAATAGAAACTTACTAAATAATATAACTTTCAGCTTTAAAGAATTTATATGATTTGGTTTAGTTATTCCATCATTTTCTATATTGTGAAATTATCAAAATTTTGTTGTGTAACGCTGCTTTTGAGAAAACATTAAAAATACCTCCTCATGATTTAGAATTTAAATTTTTTTATTGTAGATCAGAAAATTTAATTTTCTCTATCCAGTCAGTGTCCCAATATTCTTTAACATATGTCTTTTGATACTTTATTTTCAGATTGTAGAAGTCATGACGTCCGGCTATAAATTACAAAAACAGAGTGAAAACAGACAAAAATTTATCAGTGACCTAGGAAGGAGGAACTGATTTTTTGCAGCATCAACGTTACCTCTTTCAGTCTTAGTAACAATATTTTTGGTTAAGATCAATTTACATCGTCCGGCTATAAATTATAAAAACAGAGTGAAAACAGACAAAAATTTATCAGTGACCTAGGAAGTAGGAACTGATTTTTTGCAGCATCAACGTTACCTCTTTCAGTCTTAGTAACAATATTTTTGGTTAAGGTCAATTTACATCTAATAAATACAGTTTCTTTTAAATAAATTATACATTATTTTATTTATATGTATTGAATAAATAAACATAAAAATAATGTTCCATAATATGGGCCCCCCAGTGGCACAACAGTATGTCTGTGGACTTAGAATGCTAGAAACCGGGTTTCGATACCTGTGATGGGCAGAAAACAGGTAGTTCTTTGTGTAGCTTTGTGCTTAACTTCAAACAAACAAACCATAATAAGGATATGTCCACCATATTCACTAAACATAAGCTTATCAGATGTCTTATGATATAAGAAAATGCTTTTATCTTTTAAATAGATATAAGTTTACAGGCAAGAGTCTTCAGAGTTGCAGAGAAATGAAAATTGGAATATGTTCTTATTTTCCTTTGCAACATACACTAAATAAATGTTACAAAGTGAAAAAATATAAATTATAATTGTTGAAAATAGAGTTAGAAATTATTTTCTGAACTTAAATTTTGAAATATGATATGCAGTAGACACCTGAAAATAGCTAAGCAGTCCTGATAGGGTTAAACTTCCTTCAGATCCATTAGTCACTCCTAAATGGTACAGAGACACTAACCTATCTACAAAATCCATTTCCTTAGCAAACCTCAGGAATGCTCCCATAGGGTCAGAACCAGTACTGAGAATAAAAATCAAAGGTGTAACTTCATTAATGTCTTTGTAGAGAGTATGCAGGTCAGTGGTGGGGCTCTCTACAAATTGCTGGCCAAGGTTAGAAGCGATGAACTCAGTTACAGCAAACAACACCTTTGAAAACAATGTGCATCATTAGTTTATAATAAAAGCAATTTTTGACAGTGTTCAATAGAAGAATTTGCCATACAAATGTTTGGCTTTGATGTTACATTTTATGGTATTACAGAATCTTATAATAATAGACATATATGTATAAAGCAAATACATTGTGTTCAATACATATATCCTAAAGCTGTATGAATTTTATGAATAATCTGTAAAAAAAAACAGTTAATAGAAATGTAAAACAAATCTTTATCAATTATCAAACTTTAATTAACTGGACAGTTAATTTCTACAATGGTATTGCAAACATTTTTAAACACTGTTAAATATCTCCAAAATTGTCACAATTGATAAGCTTATCTTTTCTAAAATAAATGTATTTTTATTGGAGTTGTATTCCAAATTTTTCGTGTGAGAATATGTAACATATGGTACTATAGAAATTCTTGTTAACTTCAGAGTCTATAGAACTAAAACATATATTGAATTCAATATTTAGTATGGAATAAAAAAACTTTAAATAGCACTGGAATGTTTACGAAAATCATGTAATTGATTATCTTTATATGTTAATCGAATTGCACTATGTATTTAATTTTCTAAGTACACTATTGCTGTTAATAAGACTTTTAAAGAAAAAAAAGTTAAAGTTATCATTACTAACTATTTTTTAAGCTTCCACTTATGTCTGCAATAATAGTTTTAGTACTCATAAATGATACATAAAACTATGTAAGAGTACTGTGAAGTTCCAATTTCTATTATATTTTAGTTATGATTTTGTTTATCACTTGTGTATTTTCCTTCTGTTGTTTGGTTCAGCTTTATTCATATTTTCCTGAAACATTAGCTCACCTTCCTTCCAGTTTAAACATTAAATATTAAAGAAGTCATTTTTATATCACAGCATCAACATAAGGTTCCATATACATATGGATACTACATTCATAATTAACTATGTAAAACAAATGTTTAGTGGTTGGTCATGTAATCTCATAATCTGTCAAGACAACAAAAAGTCTTAAGACTTCAAGTTAGACTGATGAGGATGAGAGAGAGAGAGCGTTAGGTTAAAGATTTGTGAAACTGTTATACATAAGACCCTTGATTTGTTGAAAGATAATATTACAAGTACTATCTTGATCTTTTATTTGAGATTTAACGTTATTTCTTTAAAAAGTGCCTAATATTGTTATTTTGAATACTTTACAAATTAGGTTTTTCTTTGTTTTCTGGTTCTTTTTTCCTAATTCATTATTATTATTTTGTGATTTTGATATTAAAACTTTGCTTCCTTGGAATACTTGTATTTGTTTGGTACAGAAACAGATTATTTCTTTCCCAAGTTCTGGCAGGTACTTCTTTATTACTGATTGATTATATTTTGTAAAGTGGCATGTATAGTGTTTAATAAATGTCTAATTTTTCACATCCTGCTTATATAACAGCATTATCTGTCAAAACAGTTACAACACATAATAAGAAAGCATTTTTTTTTTATCCTGTGAATGAATGGTATTACAATCTCAAGCACACAACTTTGTAGTAAACATACTTTTTCCTCCCTGCACACTTTGATTAACAACAACTTCTGGAAGTCACTCAGCTTCTTATTCCACTCCACACTCTGATCAGTTCCAGCCTGAATAGGAGTCAGATTTACCTAAAGCAAATAATAAACTTGGTACCAGTCACAATAATTCAAAAAGGTAAAGAAGAAACCATTTTCAACTTATAAGCCTTTTTTTTCTATCTCATTTGAACTTAAAATGAATTAGATATATAGAATCTTATATTCTAACATTAATATATATCATTTAAAAATTAAATCCATAGTCATAAGACAAAGGTTAAATTATTGTTGATATTAAAAAACACAAACAGACCAGAAAGTTATTTATAGTTTAACTATTAGAGACAATATTTTCATCAAGGTGTTAGGCCAGCATCATTTGAATGTTGTACACAATTTTTCTTTCATGTTGGCTAAATATCAACTGTGAAGCTAAATAGCCTCCAACTCTTTTTCACTACAAGTGGGTATAAATGTATGATTGAAACAAAACCTACATCAATCTCAAGTTACCGAAAAACAAAACCAAAACTATGTTTTTATAATATGTTTTAATGATAACATTGACGGATTACAAATGGATTAGTTCCAGTATTAACTTATTTCTTGTTAAAACCATTAGTTATTGAAACATAAATAAAGAATTTAACAACTTGGCCATAAAACATATGCATGTAAGATAAAAGAATGCACCTGAAGAGAGCCAATACACACAGCCAGATGTGTAGATGCTAGAACAGAGCTAAGGCCTTGGAATATATCAATACTCATTTCCAAACAACAACAATTAAACCACTGAGAATCTGTCAGCCAAGGTACTTCTTGAGGTTTTTTTCTAATATTACTCTAAAAGAAAAACATTTAAAACAGTTATAATTATGAACATATTTGTTTCTTACTATTAATATGTTGCAACTTATGTAAAATTAAATTTAACTCACAAAACTTTAACAAAATACTAGTGTAATAAATAAAACAAAGTTTGAATCTGCATTTAATTGTTCAATAACTTTCTATTTATTAATCAAATTTCAGTATTGAAATATATTTTACTCTTCTGGATCTAGCTTCTTATATTACTGATTAATAACTATAAAGTAACACATAGTTAAGATTTTCAAGTTCATGTTTGGAAGTTATAAATGATTACTGAAACTTAAGGAATGTGTATACATGGTATATTTTTACAAAGATGATGTAGCTCGTATACACCATTATGTACAATCATAAAACGTTTTCCAAGTCCATTATTTGAAAATTAGCATATAGCATTGTGAAGGACACTTACAGAAACACTGAATACATCTTAAAAGTTTGCTTAGTAGGTAATTGATTTATAATTCATTTGTATGAAAATACTAAACCTTATTTTGCATAAAATTTTTCCAATGTTAAAAAAACTACATTCTTAACTCTGAGATAACGGATTTTGCATAACTTTTTTATCAGCTCAAATATCTTAAAATATTGAATTATTTTTTAAAATTTTATGGTCATTTTCATTTTAATTAATTTTCCTGCTTTATTTTTTAACATACTAATTACCAAAGTCGTAAAATTATCGTAACAACTCTGCAAGTGAACTTAACTGTTCTAATAAATCTCTTAATAAAAAATCTCATTAACCAATTCATAAATTATTTAGGAGGCTCATATATAAAACAGTTTCATTCCCAATAATTATTAAGAATCTTAAAACACTTTGTACCTAAAAT